AGCAGGCAGGCCTCTGAATAAACAGAATTTAAGCCTGGAATTTGGCATCCATCTGGCTGGCCTGGAACCAAGACTCATCCCTTAAAAGCCCACAGCCTTTCTTCACACTGCTGGCAGTGCAATGCCCGTTTGCCCTCACTGCCCCTATCTGGGCTGGATAACCTGCCCTGGCAGGTTTGGGAGTGGGGAGAGCAGAGGTGAGGGGTCAGGCTGGGCAAGGCAGGGGGCACATTCTGGCCAGAGCCAGCAGACACAGCCATTTTCTAAAATTAGACCTCCAGGGAATTAGTTTCCTAGAGCAGACCTTCTCCATTTGGAGAAGAAACTGAAGAGGCCTTGGAGTCAGCCTTAGCCTTTAATTCCACTTTCTCCTGAACTAGACTGCATCAGCACCCTCCAGCTTCCCACCTGTGCCCCAGGATGGCTCCAGGCTCCAGGTGGAACAGCTGCACACAGCCTCAGTCTGCAGTTGTAAGCAGGAGCAGCATCACATCTGGCACAACTATGAGCAAGGCACTGCTGAGCTGAGCCCCCCACTGGGTTCAAATTTCCGGCTGCTCAAGTCCTGGTGGGAGCTGCAGCTCTGACATTAAGTGTCTTTTGTGGGCTCAGAGCAGTGCAGGCACCTCAGAGGGGCAGCCAGCAAAACCAGGTTGGCTGCATCCCTCCAGGGATATAAACATAGCTTAAAGTATTAATATTTGGAATAATGTCTGGTGGTGAAAAGGAACCAGACTTTATGTTTGCACACACATGAGGGGGAACTCAGAAGTGGCTGCAGGTGGGCAGCAGGCAGCAAACCTCCCCTTCAATGGCAGTTGCTCCATGTCAACCAGCAATTGCCAGAGCTCCTGTGCCAAGGGCTGGTGGAGGAATCCCTGCTGCCACAGGGGCTACCTTTGGGCTCCTGCTGCAGGGGGTAGCATTTCAGCTTTCCCTGGAGGGTTCAGCCTGGGGGTGGTTTTGCCCCCCTCACTTTACCCACCTTGGCAGGCAGGACTGAGCAAGTGTGTCAACCAAAGCCTTAGTCCAAAGTTACTGGGAGACATGGTGTTTGATGCCATTTTTTAGTGCATGGATACTCTGGCTGACACATCTTCGCCTCCTCTGGGGACACAATGTGCCCTAGACACAAGCATATACTCCTGCCAGTCTTGCAGCTCACATCCTTTTCCAGCAGCTGCAATTTTCCTGTGGAAACAAGCTCTGAAATAGCCTGTAATTGTAATATTAGCTTCTAGGATCAGGTGCTACCTTCTCATAGCTGCATTTGGATCCGAACGTGTATTTGGACTGCATGACTTTTGAGATTTCAAGGTAGTACATGTATACCTTGTAATAACCCTCCTTTGCATGGACATTATGGGTTTTTTAAAATGGTTGATCAGACAGTTTGAACTGAATACAATTGAAATTATGCTTTTCTAATTGTGTATCTCTAAAGGATCCAGTATCCAGGTGGTGTATTTCCATGTCTCTGCATGCCCACCAGTGAGAGCTGCTGATGGACAGACTGTGGCTCCTCATTGGGGTGAGCTGCAAGCCAGGACTGACAGCAGCCCTCCTGCACAAGATACTTTTGTCTCACTGGTGTAACAGCAGCTGACAGCCCGAACTCTCCTAGATGGCCTGATGTGAAGCACACCTGGTTACTGCTGATAGCCCTGGATCATGCAGAAAGTCTCAGCTGCTCCTCATCAGCAAGGGAGTGTTGTTGGTGCTGTGGCTGTAGCCCTCTGTGGCTCTCAGCAAGAGCTGCTGCAGGGTTGAATGTATCCCAGCAGTGTGGTAGCCCTGAGAAGGTGAGTTTGGTCTGGGGAGGCTGTAAGTGCAAAGGGAGAGTAATTGCTCCAGTTTGTGCGGTGGTTCCTGGAAAGGGAGTTTCCTTGGGCCCACCATTGCTGTGCTGCACCAAGTGAGTACACAAAGGAGTGACCCCTAAGGGCTGTGCTGTGCTTTGAGGGCACCTGGGCCGGCTCTGCTCTTGGGCTGGGGACTGAGCCAGCGCCCCTGAAGTCAGGGTGAGACGTGTGTGGTGGCTGTGTGCCTCCCCTGGGGCCATGGGCTGGGTGGAGGAGGTGGGTGCCCAGGAATGCAGTGTGGGACTTGGGGCAGGGCAGCCATGGGCTTTGGCTGTACCCCCTCTGGCTGGGGGGACAGGAACAGCTCTCATCTGGCTTCTGCCTACCCAAGGAGAAGCACAGAGAAGCACAGAGCAGGGCTATGTTGGGCATTTCCAGTTCTTCAGGAGCTCAGTGTTTGCTGGTCACTGTCTCTGGTATGGGCCAGCATACTGTGGGGTAAGTGCCCCAGGAACCCGTCAGTCACTCCATTCCCTGGGTTTCTGGGTGATGGTACTGTCTGGTTTCAGAACAGGGATTTGGGTGTCTGCTGCAGCAAAGCTGGTCCTGCTGCCTGTTTGAGGAGCCAGCAGAAGCTGCAGGCTGTGCTCATTACCTCTGGCCTCTCTGCTTCTTCTAAACCCCTGAAAACCTCCTGGGTTTCTGCCTCCTGATGCCAGAGCACTCCCTGGAACACTGGTGTCAACAGCTTGCAGGGTTGAGAAACTGCTGGAGATGCCTTTTCCTTGGGGCGAGGGAGAGACCTGTTCCCATGGTGGTACTGGGATGAGGATAAGGCATGGAGGTTTTCCCCATGGCTTATCTTCACTAAGCTCCAGTTTTTGACTTTCCATTTGTGTGCTTATTATCTTTCCCCCTCCCCTTCTGAAATGGTTCCATTAGCAGGGTGTCAAAGAAATCTCTTTGAGATAATTATTCTAGATCTCTCTAGTGGATTTGCCACGTGATAGCATGTCTGCATGGGTGTATTAATAGTATCATAATACTATATATCAGTTTTCATCCTGAAGTGCTTCACATGCTGAGGAGCGAAGCTTAAATAGAAAGACGTGGAAAGGGAAAGAAAGTTTCTGTCTCACCTGCCAGACCTCTCAAAGCCATGGGATGAAAGAAGAATCTTCTTGATGGTCTTGCACCAAATCTGAGTTTGGTCCACTGAGTCCTGTGATGGCCCACTGAGTCCCGTGGCAGCCCTCCAGGCTGGACCTGCCACCCGGTTCGACCTGTCTCATGCTCTGCACTGCTCTATTCCTGATGCTGGTTCTTGGTGGACTCCACGCTTCCAATGCTCTTGCTGCAGCCAGTTGCCTTGCTGAGCTACAGCAGTCTGCATCCTTCCCCCTTCCCTCTTCTTCTTGTTAAGGACAGGTGCTGTGGGACTGGCTGTCCCCTCAGCCCAGCAGTGGGGTGCCATGGGGTGTCCCTTGATGACGCCGGGTCAAGAGGTCACTGAAGGTCTGTGCTGGGCACTGCTTGCCAGGGCGGGTGAAGTGGGATCTGTGCTGTCACCTTCCCAATGGCTACTTCCCCCACCCTCACTAGGTGGGTGTCCCCTCCAGGGCCCCTTCTCCAGGGCCACACTTGGCTTTGGCCTCCTGCCACTCCTCCTTCACGAGCCTGTGCAAATGGGGAGCACTGTGCTGCACTGGCAATTTGGAGACAGGGATAACCACATTTTAATCTCTCAAGCAGCATCTCCCAACATCTGCCCTTGTGTTTGGGGCTGTGGAGGGTGACTATCACGGGCACAGTTGTATTTTCTCCCAGATGCCTTTCACCTTCTCCACCGGCCCCCTTCCCTCTGCACTGCCAGGATCCCTCTTCATCCCTGCCCTGCCACTCAGAAAGGCTGGGAACCTGGGAAGGGAGGCCAGCCCTGCACCTGCTCTGGGCGGGCAGCAGATGCCACCAAGCCCTGTGCCACAGTGTTGCCTTCCCTGTTAAGAGCAGGGAATGGGGAGAGCCAAGGCGCTGCAGTGGGGAGGAAACCACCCTGGGCAGCGAGAGCTGAGGGTCAGTCATGGGCTGTAGGGTGTATGAGGGACTGTGTAGCCCCATATGGCACAGAGAAATGTGCTCAGGGCTTACTCCCTGCAGCCTGACATCACCTCTGGCAGTGTAGCAGTCCTCTGAGGATTTGAGGTTTTGATGGAACAAGAGGCTGCCTTATTCCATCCGGGCAGTATTATCCAAGGCGGACGAAACCCATCCTCCATGAATGCTGTCTGGGCTAGAGATGGAGTGATGGCTGCAGGCCTTGCCCTCCTAAGGGCTGGGAGGTCTCTTGCAGGGGGGTCAGCTGGGACAAGCTGCTTGTGTAACCCTGTGTTTGCAGGAGTCTCCTACAGAGGTAGGGCATCCAAGCAGGACCAGGAGAAACTTGGTAGCCTGGAAACCACCTGTGTGCCAATGTTTGAGGTCAAAACTACTAGGCTGTAGACATTCATATGAATGAACAACTGCTTAGAGACTTTAGACAGTTGCTTGTCTCAGCAACAACCAAGGCCTGATGAGTCCAGTTGGGATCTCCCATCTGTTTCCCCACCCACAGTGGCTTTGGGGAGGGAGTAAAGAGCAGCGGCACTTCAGGGCATTGCAGGAGGAGCGGGGAGCATGAAGTATGGATTGTTCAAATGTACAGGTGTGTTTTGACAAGTTGCTGCCCCTCACAGCAGAGCTGCCTTTCCTGGGAAAGCTCCCCTGCGACGGCTCTGCTGCCTGCCGAGGTCTGCTCTGCTCAGGTGTGTGTGGCCAAGCCACCAGCAGCACAGGGGCTGTTCTTCATGGAGAGCAGGGATAATATGCCTGGAGTCATATTAAAGTGTTAAAACAGCAAAGAAAACATAGTCAAGAGGGATTGCTGGTAGGCATGTGCAGAGGGGAACATAGGGTACCTTTTCCCCCCTCCCTTGTCTCCACTCCAGAGGTGCAGGTGAGGCTCCTCACTAGCCTTCTGCTCCCCTGGAAGACTCTGGGTCCTAAATTGCTTAAGAAAGTCATGCCCTGGTCCCTACCTCCTCTCCTCAAGTGATGTGGGTGTGGGCTGATGTCTGCTGGTGGGAGGAGGAGGACCAGGACCCATTGTGAGTCAGGGTTTGATGGGGTTTCTCCAGGCTACATAAAAAGACTCTGCATTTTGTTCCAGCTGTCCAGCAATAGAATATATTTAACTTTTAAAAAAAAAAATCCACAGTATCAAAACACGAGAAGTCACAATCCAATACTTGGTGATATAAACAGGCATACAAATGGTCCTCGGCAACCCCTTAGTTTGGGCTTCAGTGCGAAAACAAAAGGTGGGCTCACCAGCAGGGTGCAAATGACACAGGTGGGCAGGCCCTTGCTCCCTCCTTCCTAGGGTGGAAAAATCTGAAGTACCCATGCATGGCCAAAACCAAGGAGAACACGGACTTGAGCCAGCAATGGAAAACTTATCCCCCTCCCAGCCTCTGGAGCAGCGCCTGCGTCTGCGTGTGGTGAGTGGAGGCGGGGCTGTGGGTCTGGGTGAGATCGCCTGTTGGGTATTTGGGAGAGAGCTGCCATCACCTCCAGGCAGTGCTGGTAATGGTGAGCCCCTGTTTTTATCCCAAGCCAAAATGTTCCACTCCCTCTCACCTGCCTGCTGAAAGCATCCTTAGAGCTGGAAGATGGATTCAGCTACTCTCGCCTTGCCAGTCCTGGAGCTTAAGTGAAGCCTTCCACTTCCCACTGCACCATTCCAGCAGTGAGGATTGGGTGTTTCCGCTTTCCTCTAGTCAGTGGGTGGGTGCAAGAGAAGGAGGATTTGAATTTTAGCTTGGCTTAGGGATGACAAGAGGAGGAAGAATAGCTTGTAGGGGGCATGGGCTCTAGTGGGATTCACTGTAATTAAGCCTGGTTCAGCTGGTGCCACTGTGACCTGGGGTTTCGCAGCATGCTGCTCCCATGGGGGGATGGAAATGCTGAGTGCCAGTTTGGGAAATAAATTGCAGCACTGCCTCAAAGTGTGTGCAAGTGTGAAGCGAAGTCTGCTAGAACGTACAGGGCCGTGTTACCACACAAGCATGTGGGAGAAGCCACTGCTTTTAACTGGGAGGAATATCAGATCTAGCCAAGCTTACAGGTCTCCTTGTATCTGGGCTTTAAATGAACTCTTGGTGGTGTGTTGCAGTGGATGCAGTTTGGGTTGAATAGCAATAAATTACACCCTGGCTGGAGTATGTGCATGTACGTGAACTGCGGGGTCATCCCAAAACAAGCAGGAGGCAAGGCAAGGGTGGAATAAAACGGTCCCCCTAAAGAATACTGGGACTGTGACTCTCCTGTCCACAGAGCTTGGCACAATACTCAAGGCAAGACTATGACAAGGGGCAATTTCCAGTAGAACTGAAAGATCTTTAATAAAATGTGTGACAGTAAACGGACGTAGGGAGGACCATGCAGCTTTGTGTCTTGGGAAGCACAGGATGTGGCACAGATGGGGTTACCTAGCACATCTAAACACTCCCTACCACATGGCTGCATGCCAGAGCCATTCCCAGCTGACCTTCCAGCTGCAATTTCCAGGCATGTGTGCCATGGCTGGGAGCGATGCTGAGCTAGTCAGGCAAAGGGCTAGGAGAGTGGGGGTCATCTGCCATAGCACCTTTTCCATGGTAAAGACGGATTTGGCAACACCAACAAACTGGGAAAAAATGTTAATGTGCTCTGTGTTGCAATGGTTGGGCTGGCCCAGAGTGATGAAACTGGTTTTCGACTGGCCACACATTTCAAACACACATTTGGTTTGGTCCTACCTGGAATTGCTTTCCAGTGACTAGTAAATCAGCTGTTCAGCCCGGCTGGGTTCAAGTACCATAGAACTATTTCATTAAAGCCCTTTTTTTTTTTGGTTTTTTGAGAAACCTGGTTTTCACAATCAGAAAAGAGCAGCAGAAAATTCTGTGTTGCTGACAGATGGGAGTGAAGCAACTGCATTTATTCGTTGTTACCCACTATCACTCTTGAGCTGTAAAATTTGCATCTAAAACATCTGAAGCAGGTGATGGCATTGGGATAGCTGGGTGCCATGCACTTTGGACCAGATGAAGTGTTCGGGGCTGTGACCTCTGGCTGCGCTGGCAAGGAGGCAGGGCTGGTTGGCAGTAATGGTGTGGCACCTCATGGCACAGCTCCTGCAATCAGGATGAGTTATCCAGCCCTGGTGTTGGTGGAGGTGTTGTCCCAGAAGAGGTGGCCTCCCTCTGCAGTGCTTCGGAAAGAGGTGTAAAAGTGCTGGGTGACTAATTTGACCCTAAAGAGAAAGAAAATAATTGCTGATGGGGGAAAGCTCCGAACTGGCACTCATACCTGTGTCTTCACTGCGTGGCTCTTCTCATCAGTGCGTGATCTGTGGGCACCACACACACCTCTCCAGCTTGCTACCAGCTTCCCCACCACAGGCTTACCAGGAGCCCCTTGAGGGGATGGGTCTGCTGGGCCTGTCCCTGGCACAAAGCTCTGGCCTTTTATGAGAGGAAGAAAAATAAGTCACGGTGGAGGGTGTGATATAAAAGATAAAAGACTGAGCAGAACCCCCTTGTGACCACCAGGGTCCTCCCCTCCAGCTTCCCCAACCCTGCCCTAGGCTCAGCCTCCGAGCTCACTGCAGATCCCCAGTACTTGCCATGGGGAGACCTGAAACCAGGGTGAGGGGCTCACCACAGCCTGAGGCTGCTGTTCACACCTGGGCTGGGGGGAGCTTGGCAGTGCCAGTTTTAATCAGGACTACTGAAAAAAGCAGAGGTTTTTATCACCGTTATTACTGCTGCGGGGCAGCTTTGGGGAAAATGCAATTGGATGCCTGCTGTCTGATAGCAAGGCCCATCTATAAAGTTGCTCCTGTCCTAAAGTAAAGAGTGGGAATCTGTCTGCTTCTAATTTAAAATAAATTAAGCAAATCACCACAACAGGCAAAAATAAGGCCTTTTGTCCTAGGTGTCATTTGCAGATTTCAGAGTCTCCTAAATGGTGCGCTGGGTGTTTTCTTGGCTTCACCAATTTGATAGGAAGGTCAAAAATAAGAAAATTATAGAGCAAAACCTGAAAGTAAATTATAAATCCCTCACCTCTCCTGCGCAGTGCTGCACTGCGGTACCAAACTCCCTCATGCAATAAATGTAGACAGCACACAGACCTAACTGAAGCAATGCTCTCTGGAGACCTGCAGCCATCCCGGGGAGGGCAGCATTTCCATACAAGTCCTTCCTGAAGTAAGCCAATTCTCCCATCCTCACTAGAGCACAGAGATCGACAGCACCAGTTGTGACCTGGAAGGCCAGCAAAACCCTGGTGATGCTGAAGAGGAGCTAATTCTGCCCTTTGTTCCCAGGGGAGCTTTTGTACAGGTGCTGGGTCTCTGGGTTGGGGCATCAGCTGCTGCTCTGACATCTGATGCCACACAAGATGTGACTTTTGGCAGTTTAATGCCCAGTGAAAATGTCAGCTTGTTTAATCCTGCCCAGACTGAGGTTTCTTGCACTGCCTGTCCACTTCATGTTTAAATCTATCTTCTAAAAGTGAATCCAAATTCACAGGCACCAGAAGAAATTGTTCTTAAGCTGAACTTGGCTGCTTCTATTTCAGAGACTCTGCACCCAAAGGCTTTGCCTGGTTTCTTTTATCTATGACCTATCTGCAGAGGCTCCTGCACACCCATCCTGACACCGCAGCACAGTTAACTCGATGCTTAGGCAACATTTGGCATTTGCTCTTGAACCAGCCATTCTGTTTTGGCAAAATTGAGGGGTAACCATTGCTCTTTGTCCTTCTGTTCGCTGCAGCTGAGCTGGCAAGCTGTTTGGGTGGCTTCTCAAGTGTTCCCACTGATGACAGCAGCAGCTTGTGAAGGTGTTTTCCAGCTTAGGGGTCCTGTCCTGCCACACGTTAGTTGGGACTATGGATGATGCTTTATCATTAACCCTGGAGGAAGACCTCCTGAGCTGGGAGAGCAGAGAGGTACTGGTGCCTGCTTTCCACAGGCTGTGGGCTCACAGTGAAGTGTGAGCATTGGGCAGGTAGAAAACTTTCTGGGAAGAAAGGTCTTGCATCTCCAGCCTTCAGGAGAGCACCTGGGGCTGTAGGGAGGCTAAGCCATAGGTTTACACTAAAACACCAAAGGAGCTTCTTATGCCACCAGCTCCTTGGGGGCATCACCGACATGTGCCCTGCCCAGCGCAGGGCTCTCCTCCAGCCTTGGTGGGCAGCTGTCCTGCCCAGTGCACCCCTGCCATGCCTCTGAGGATTAAACACACAGCGTGGGGAGAACAGCGCTTTCTGCCTAGCAAGAGGACACCCGTGCTCAGGGGCACTTGCTGCTGTTTGACACCCCAAGCTCTCTTTGCAACAGGAGCTGTTTTAGCTCACGGGATCTGCTCTGCATGAAAAATCAAGACCTGTGTTAAAAGCAAATCATCATACCAGGAGAGGCCAGGAGCTTGTTTAACAGCAGTGGGGTTTGCTGTCACCCCCTTGCCCACTGTCTCTTGGCAGGAGCAGTGGGCTGGAAGTGGGTCAGGTGGCTCCCAGTTTTGGCAGTGGGTTTGTATGAAGCTCCTCTGGATGGAAGGACCCTACCTAGGTGCGAGCAGAAGCCTGGTTTTGCCCTGTTTCAGCAGGGATCCTCCTGCCAAAGTAGAAAAGCAGCCAGGTACTCCCACCAAGCTGAGCTCCTCTCCCCCTGCTTAAATACCAGCCAGGATCAGAGGGGTCACTCCACCTGGATGACCAATGTAACTGCACACCGCGTGTTCCAACCAGGAAAACACAGCCCTACCCCATTTGGCCATGGGCCTTCCAACCACGACAGCTGCTAAGCACCTGGTTAGCAGGTCGTGATACTCGAGCTTTGGGCACTTACCCCAGGGAAGCGGAGCTGGGACACTGCTTGAGCCAGGAGCACACGTCACGCCGTAAGGGGATCCATTTCCAAATCACGGAGACACTGCCAGCAAGTCTCTTTCAGAGGGAGGAAAAGCCTCGGGTTTTGGCTCCCCCAGTACTGTTTCACACTAGAAGCTTTTGGCAGCACGTGGCTGCACCCGCCACCCTAGAGGAGCTGCGGGGCACCGGTCCCTTGCTGGATAAAGTCTCCCCAGGGCTGGCGGGAGGTCTGGTCTTTGCATGGTGGCAGCAGATGGAAGCAGGGGACGCCCCCAGATCACTTCAGCAGTACAATACGATTTACAGCAAGCACGTTTCTCAAGACATCTGTGAGGACATAACTTCATTGAGTATCGTATATACAGACAGCAGAGGAGGCTGTGCTGAACCCTCCACTACTGCAAAGCAGTCAAAGATGGAATCTTGGGGCGGGAAAAAGTACCACTGGTTGGCTTTTACACACTGTACAGGTATCTATGAACAGCTCCTTGGCAGCTGATGTTCACAGCCAGTTTCCTTTAACAGTGAGCATAGAAAGGAGGCAAAACGTCTTCAGTGACCTCCCCCTAGGAGGAGAGGGAAAGCAGCATCTCCCACTGCCTCGGTTCGGCTGCCTGCCCAGGTGCATCCTTCACCAAGGGTGTTTCCTTTTCCTGGCACCGTCCTCCTCCTCGTCTGCTGCCCACCACGTGCTGGTCAGGACCAGTCCCAACCCATGCCGTGCTTGCCTCATCTCCGCTGCTCAGTGGGATCAGTGCAAGTCTCCACCGGCTGCTCTGCATCTCCGCTCCGCTGGACGGGCAGATGAACCAGGTTCAAACAGAAGGAAACAAAACAAAAGGAAGAAGAAGAGAGACAAAGGGTAATAAAAAGTTCCATGGCCCACAGCTGCCAAAGGAAATCTCTCGCCGTGTTTCTCTGACCATACTTGTGCCAGCCACTACAGCTGCTGTGGGATCCCCTGTTCCTTGTAGCCTGTGAGGAGGGAGGGGAAGGGAACATGATTAGAGTTAATTCCTAATGAGGACACTCGGTGAGAAAGCCACCAGCCTAATTTACCAGGAGTAGCAAACCATGTGGGAAAATAGGGGGGCTGCCACAGCCCCCCTTGTGGCCAGGCTGCCCTGGGCAGCCTCAGCCCAGCAAGCCACCCTGCCCTGCTGTAGCCGACACCTGCCTGGTGCAGCCACCTTCCTGGGCATGGCCATGTGGATGCTGGCAGCCAGCCCTGCTGCTGCAGCACCCACCTGGCCCCAGCAGTGGCAGGGGCACATCTGCTTGAAGAGATTATAAAAGCACAGCAGGTACCAGTAGTCACTAATTCCAGTACAACCTGTACAGTAACCTAAAACTTCTACAGAGCATGGTTTTTTTGCAGTGTAGGGGAAATGTATGCCCTTATATCCTGCTCCAGAGATGCTGCTGTTCCCAAGTGCTGACCTGGCACTTTGCTGGCTGTGCATCCGACACATCTCTACTTGTGATCTGTGCTTGAACTTTGTCCTTCCAGAGCAGGAGGCTGGCTTCCTCTATCCATCTTTTTGTTCCTGTGCTAGCTTTTGCTAACAGAGCTCTCCAGCAGCAACCAATTGCACTGCAGTTTGCAGAGGTGAACAAACACCTCTTGGAGAAGAAGCCTTTAATCACAGGCTGACATGTCAAATTTCAAACACAGACCTCAAGATCCCTCTGTGAGCACTTCCCCTAATGATATTCTCACTGCCTTGTTATGCACTTGCTTTTCTCCAGCCCAGCAGCATTATAGGTGTTTTTGTTAGGGCACAGTGGCTGTCCAGCAGGCCTGGAGAAAACTGAGCTTTTCAGCAGCAAAACCAATTGCACTGGAAACTGCCTGGATCCCTGTTCCTCCACACCCTCTCCTCTTCCTGCGGCCACGAGGTTTGCTGCACCTCCCAACCAAGGTAGCGAAGCCCTTGGGATCCCTGCTGTGTTGCAGCCACATGGATGTTGCAAAGCCCAAAGCAGCTTGTCCTGCTGCCCATCACAGCTCTTCAGGGTCCTGGGGCCCAAGCTTATTTACTGCATATAGTTGTTGAGGGGAGGCTGCAAATCCCATAGGACACAGCTGCTTCTCTCTGGAGGGAGCTAGGGCAGGGAAGGGTAATAGGAGAGCACACAAGCTCTTGTGCTGACAGAGGATAATCAGAAAAATACTGAATTTTTTAACACTTTCTTAGATGGTTGCAGTGACTGCACCAGAAGCTTTACCTGCTTTTCTTTTAACAGAACCTGGGATTGTTTTTATGATAGTATCAATGCAAAAGATCTCCTTATTAAAGAAGCAAACCAACTGTCCTTACTTGCACTGCCTGCCACAGAAAAGATCTTTCAACTTTAAAGATCTGGAGAGTTTTTTTTTCTTACATTAAATAACGTAAGTAGCCCATCATTTTTATATTTTGAATTTCAAAGAAGTCTGAAATTTCACATCTCAGAAGAATGCTTAACTCTTCAAACACTTTTCCATTGATGCTTTTTTAATATTTCTTTCCAACCCTTATGTCAGACTGTTTTAAGTCCCTTAAAAAAACTGAACACAAAATACCAGCAGGTGCCAGAACCCATATCTTTAAGGACTTTTTGCTGAACTAAGAACTGACTCCAACATATGAACTTTGCTGTACTTTAGAAAAAAAATCTACACATTCACCCAGCCTTGGCAGTCTGGATCTCCTGCTGTTAAACAGGCACAAGGGGCAGATTAATGACACTTAACTGCATCGCTGCCCATTGTGTGCAGCTGAACAGAAAGACTCTCATCTCTTTCAAAGAGCTTTTTCTAGGGGGCAAAATGAGATTTCTCATGCATTTATGTTCTAAGTGTGTCAGCTCTGAAGGCAAGATGAGCTGGCTGGAAACCTGTAATATAGGCTTGTCTACAGCATGGGTTTAATTTGTTTAGGGAGCATAGTTAAAAAAAAACCAAAACAACCCCATGGACCAGTAAGTTGGGGTCTGCCATAAATCTTTATCTCAAGTAAGAGGCTGAGTTATGGTTACAGTAACTTGCTTACATAGCCATGCCTTTTATTGAGACATAAAAAAATTAGGATTAAGAAATCCTTTCAGTCCTGCTATCAGTTTTGAAGCTGGCTGGAAGGCAGTTATAGTGGCCAAGCTTGTGTCTCTCTTTATGTGACCAAAGTAAGCCAAAAAATTACCTGTCCTATGCTAAACCTATTTATTACGATACTTTAGACTTAACTTATTAAATAGTTTATATTTCAAAATAGTTATTGCATTTCTTGCATAGGAGCAGCTATTCTGTACGAAGCAGCTTCACATTAGTACACCTGCAATCCAGCTGAGGTGCAGGTCTGTAGGGCAGACAGCTCTGGGGTCATGATTAACTTGGTCTGTGCACAAAGTCACTGATTTAATCAAGTTTACTTGAAATTGCACTTCTTCTGTAAACCACTGCATGTAAGACTGAGGCAAAAAGAAGTGTGTCTGTGCACAGCCTGTCCTACCAGGACTGAGTTCATGCAGAGGGTGGCTTCAGGATGCTCTCAAGGCTGAACCGGGTTCCTGCTGTGCTCCAAGGGTGCCCTTGGGGCAGCCTGAGGGACATTTCAATGGTGTGAGAAGATTTTCAACATCCCTGGGGCTCTGCAGCCACAGGACAGACACAGAGACAGGCGGATACACACACGTAGAGGCACAAGGCTGGACTTGGGCTGGGAGCGGGCAGCACTGGCCAAAGGGAATTCCTGATGGCTTGCCCTGGCCGATGCTCGCTGCTCTCCATGCGGAGCTGCCACAGGGTGCGAGGAGGAGGAAGAGGAAGAACAGAAACAAACTTACCTTGTGAGACTTTGATGGTGAACAAAAGGAGGCAAAGGAACATGAAAGAAAGAGAGAGGGAGAAATGTAACTGCAGATGATATATCTGAAACACATGGAGAACCAGAAAAGAATGAACAAGTTGGGGCTGCAGAATAAACAGAGAACAGCTGCTCTACCATCAGACATTCACACCAGGGCTAAACATTATTTAAAATCTTTGTACTTGAAGTGGATCATTTCATTTGGGACTCCTGTTTAAAGACAATGGGGAAATTTTCATCTGCTTTCCAGTTCACCGGCTCTGAGCTGGACAGGCTGGCTGGAGTAACACCTCTGAGCAATGCTCACACACTTTCCTCTGTGACGCTGGTATTTCATGGGTCTGACTGAAGGCAAACCACTGAAGGATGGCAGCAAACAAGACATTACAGTGTACCAGAGGGCACATGGTGTGCTGTTCACAGTCTGAGAGCTTGGAAAACTACACCCAAAGCCTTTGGCAGTTTTGTTGATGAGTTTGCTTGTGCCTGCAGGTAACTCACAACCACAGCGTGCCTCAGCATGTCTGGGTGCTGCAAACCCTGGTGGTATTTAACATTCCTACAATATTTTAAGAACTTGGCCCACCACAGCATTTGGTAGGAAACAGCAAAAAAGGGTATTTATTTCAACTATTTTCCTCAGCCACAGTTTGGGGGACAGCTCTATTTAGATTTTTTACGAAAAACATAATAGGTCTAAGCTGGCAATTTTTCCTCAGAATTTCCTTCATCATTTCCTTCTCTCTTCCAGCTGTTATCCTCTGAGTCTCTTAAGTGCCTTCTGTTCCCCTTTCCTTCCCAGGGCAGCCGTGTTACCTGCCCTAGCAGGGGCCCTGAAGAGCAGAGAGACTCAGCGATGCTTTCCAAAGCCCCTCAGAGCCCAGGACTACAGTAACTGTGCAATCATCTGCTGCTGCTCCTAGCAGGGTCTGAGCACTGTAATTAGCAAAGGAGTGACAAGTGGACAGCATAATTACAGGTAAGTTCTCACTACTGGCTGGCAATCAACCCCTGGGAGTCAGCTGAAGTGAAGCCATGAGCGATGGTGCAGCCAAGCATTCAGAGGCAGTTGTTCATTCAGAGGCCAAAAGCTGAGCTTTTGAAGGCTTCCCTCAGAAAGCAGGCCTGACTTCTTGGCTGTGTTCACTAGAGGCGAAACAATGCCTGGACAAACAGTCCCTGACTTGTGTCCCCTGTGCCACCTCAGTGTGACATTACTATATTATTTCTCTGGCATTTCTGTCAAGAAATGGTACACAACCTGTTATAATGGGCTCTGAGCAGCTAGGGAGTTCCTGGAAAGGCCATTCCACTGTGGTCATTCTGCACAATGCGGCCAATGAATATGTGTGCTGCGTGGGCTGGGGACAAGGTGTGCCTACAGCAGAAGGAACTTTGCCCAGAAAGCCTTGGGAAGCTTGTTTTCCAATTGGCCTTGGCAGCTAATTAGCTCTGTTTTGCCTCAGCTCCATGCCTCATCCCTGCAGACATGATGAGGGGTTTGAAGATAGCACAGTGTGGCAGCGCTGCCCAGCCATCACTGAGGACAGCTGGATATCTGCAGCAGCTAGGGGAGAGTCCAGATATTTATTTTTTTTTTTGCACAATAATTAAGTTCTTCCTTTTAACCTACCTTTGCTTTCAGACAGCGGTACAGCGAAGGACAGTTCCCAAAGCCATATGGCTGCTCAAAGAAGATATCTGTGGCGTCAAATGGGGACAGCTGGCAATTCATTTAAATTAGCAGAGAAAATGCCCCATGCCATGGTGCTGCCAAAATAAATTAAGTGTGACAGCAAAACTGCATTCAATTAATCTTCCTTCTGGGATATTATTCTGCTAAAGGGCACCATACAGGAGATGAGGGCTGGATGGGACCCTCTGAGGTCAGTTGTTCTCTTCCCGTGTCCCACCTTGCTCCTGACAGAAGTCAATTTACTCATTCTTGCAGTCTCCTAGGAACAGAGAGGGCAGATCCTGCCATCCCACCTCTGCAGCATTTTGACCTTACTGGAGGGAAAATGTCTCCTAATTTCCATACAGATCTTCCCTGCTGTTACTTAAGTCTGTCTTAGGCTGAACTGATGCCCTCACATTTACTAGCCTGCTGAACATCTTCATCATCAACATGCCTGCTGTCTTACGGTCCTCTGGACTCTCTTAAGGTTTTCCATATGAAGTACAGACTCCAAAGCTGGCCACAAGCCTCACAGCAGCTTTATGTGTGCAGAGAAAGGTGAGGGGATCAGTTAATTCCCTACAGGCTCTGCTCCTACCTGCCTGGGCAGTGTTTGTTCCCTCCACAGCAACGTACTCCTGTGCCACTTGTGACTCCCTGCAGCCACCACATCCTTTGCTGAAAAACAAGTAGTTCCCTGTATTTATGGAGTCAATTAATTCTTCTGTAGAGTCTTGGGCTTGTCTCTACTGAGTAGCACTTACTGTTTTCAGATCATTTCTTCAAATTACTTGCATCTGGACACTGCCTGTGCTGTGCCAGCTGTCCTCCCAGCCACTGCAGGTGCAGGGCTGGTGACCCCCTTCTCTGGTCCATCATCAAGCCACAAGTTAAAATAATGAGCAGAGCTGGATTCAGGAGGGACCTTTCAACACATCTCTCTTTATATCTTTCTAGTTCAGGAAAATCCATTTAGAGTCAAGTTCTCAAGTGCATTTTCACTCAGGCCACGTCTCCCTGGCTTGCTGGTAGGAATGCTGTGTGAGATGGCGTCAGCACCTGAAGGTTAGAAGGGATGGCTGACTGCTGCCACCACAGACAAAATGAATCTCTCTGCCACAAAAAGGAATCAGTCTGACACAGCTTGCTCTGGACAAACCCAGGTTGACTTTGTGGGGATGTTTTATATTTTCTAAATGCATGCAAGTCACTTACTTGATTACTTCTTCCAGGAATTGAAGTATACCTGGTTGGCCTATAATTCTTCTCCTTTTCCCCTCATTACAGACAGTATGACATTATCCTCAGAGCAGGCTCCCCCTTTCCATGGCTGAGAATTAGCACTAGAAGATGAAAAGCTGCAACAAGCCTCCTGTTCAAAAGGGATGTGGATGTGGCACTCGGGGACATGGTTTAGTAGCGAACACAGTGGTGACGGGTTAACAGTTGGACTGTGATCTTGGAGGTCTTTTCCAACCTTAGTGATTCTATGATTCTAATTCTCTCCCAGCTATCTACCAGTTAACAGACAGGCAGGCCCTAATCCAGGGAGTGATGCACTCATCCCTTAGGGAGAGCCTGAGTGGAGTCCCTAAGCCTTAGCTGTTTCCCACCCTTCTCCTCACTGCTAGCCCCCACCAGCTTAGACACCACCTGCTGTGTCCAGCCTTTAGCCCATCCAAATAGTATGGCACCCTCACAGGGATGCATGGAATAGACTACTGCAAGGCAAGGGAGACTAGAGGTGGCCAGTAGTTTTGTATTTTTTTAACTATTTTCCATCTGCAGATTCAAGTTGCAATGGTGTACGATTTCTGTCCACTGCATCAAATTGCTTGTGCACAAGCAAAACCCAGCCAAAGCAAACTGTTTCCTGGCAGTGTTCTTAGATGAAATACCTTATTTCTTGCATTTCAAACATGGCTTCCTTTTTAAGTTAGTGCCTTTTTTTTTTTTTAACATGAAAATAAGAACCCCTCTTGGTCTGACAGGGCTGTTTGATCCAGCCAGCAGCAACTGATCACTTCTGTTCTTTGTTTCAATTGAAATTGATATTTTTTATATTCTCCATCAACCTAGAGCTGCTTTATTTAGCCATTATTTTCTCTGCATGGCAAGTAAACTTAAAACCAGCTATTTAATGAGACAGCAAGAAACTGCCCAGGGCTGCAACTTGTCAGATGATGCTCGTGAACATAAAACGTGTTGTCTCCTCTCACCATTCTCTACTACCACCAGAGGGGTGAAATATTGTGCCGTGGTTGGGAACCTCTTGACCTGAGCTTTCCCACCACATGCTGCTCACTCACGCTCTGCCTTTCAGACTAGTGGGGTCCAGCCAGATGTGAGAAATAGCTTCCAATCTGTATGGTTTTCCCCAACAACCAAACTGGAAAACCAATACAGGCCTCCTAAGCAAAAAACCCTCTACCTGGAGAACAGGACTATGCAGAAAAGCAAGTCATGATTTCAGATGTAGCTCTTTATCAGGACAGATGCTTTCCTGACTCCCCACAACTGCAGAATGGGGTCCTGCCAGACAGCAAACTGCACACGGAGGCTGTCCAGCAGAGGAAGAGCAGAAGAGCATATGATTATGAACACAATTATGGGATTACACACAAATTGGGCAGATTATTAAAGACACATCACAGATGTACACCCATTCACAGTTTATCCTCAGAAATAACTTGGGCTACCCCTGCTCTGCAGGTTCATCTGGAAGGAAATGTGGCAGGTGGTTTGCAGGGAAAACCAAAGGGCAGTGCTGCCTTCACCCTTGCCTTTTGCCTTGCATATGTTCAGGTTTTTAATATCCATTGTTTGCTCTGTGTGGAGATTGCCCTTAACTCAGCCTGCAAATTGAAGCTGGCTCAGAAATTAAAAGGTGGTTTGGTGAGAGGGTTTAACCCCTGGGTTTGGCAGCTGAAAATGTGTACTGGTCTTCTGCCTTTTTTTTTTTCAGTTTCATCCATTTCATCTTTAGGCAGGTTCCTGGCAACTTCTCGAGATCCTCTCTCCTCCTCTGTCACGCAGCCACAGATGTCATCAGCAGAGATGACAAAGTGGAGCCCGTCCAAACCGAAAGGCAATAGGTGCTGGTAAGATGGGAGAAGGGCTTGCTTGGGGAACTGCCTGTCCTGTCAGCCTGAAAGATCTCAGACCTGGGTGGTTTGGGGCAATGCCCATCAGCCTCTGCCAGCCCCTGTAAAGGGAGCAGGGTCTTGGAGATGCCATCAGCAGCCTGAACTGTGTGTTGTTTCTGGCTTTGGAGGTGAGATGAGAGTGTCATCTCAATTCTCTGCAATACGATACAGGAGATATGATACAACTTTTACACCAGCAAAAGCCTTTGGCAGATAAAAGTTGGCAGTATTCTGGGTTGGTGATTTATACAAACTGGGTGATCTAAATTATGTAAATTTAAAAAAAGGATTCCTCTTCACCTAGGCCAATGTTTTAGAGGCTTCTCAAGGGGTGTATGGGAAGTACACCCAGCAGCTAGGAGCAGCTAAATACTTCTGCTCACCTAAGGACTTGGTGTGAAACATTAAAAAAAAAATACCTTGGGTAAATGTATTCTAGGGAGGAAAGGGAGGGTCCAGGAGAGTCCCCAGGGCTTTTCAGGGGACAGCTGGCCCTGGGAGCAGAACCAGCCTCTCAGAAAGGTCTCTCTAACAGCAGAGATGCAGCCGGAGTCACAAGGGAGGAAGGTCTTTCTCGTTCAAACGGATGCAACCAGGGCAGAAGGGGCTTCAGACAGCAGAGTTCACAGTGCTGGGGATACTCCCCCTTCCTGCACCTTTCATTTCATAAAGGGAAAAGAAAGTTTGTAACCCATGTGGTGGGATGGGAGGCTCTACCAAATATGTCACAGGGCCGATTCAAACCCTCTTAGCCATTTCTCTGCCTAATGTGTTTCTCATGGACTTGCAGAGCCCATCACGTGTCTCTTCTTCCCTACAGTACAGTCCAGTGGCTTGGAGGGACATTAGGTGGGACTCGGTAACACGGCCATGGAGAGAAGTCAGGGTGGTGAGTGTGCTGTACTTACTTGCAAGAATGACCATGTCCATCCCCCAAAATATACTCATAATCCAGCCAACCATCACGATCGCTGTCAGGATCTGAATCAGAGCAGCAGCAATGTTCAGCCAGAAGACACAACACATGTGCCTGTCAGGGAGGTCAGTCCGGGCTCCGCACAGCACGGTGAAAGCGGATACAAACGTTCCTAGGGAGAGAGCAGCAACGCAACACCCAGTGAGAGCCACGGCTTCGTGCCAGATCCCTCCCCTTAGACCCACTTCTCATAGTGTCCCACTTCTTGTGCTCCCATTGCAGTGCTGAAAACCTGGGAGGACAAATGGAGGCACATTCTTACTTGAACATGCTGCTGTCTCCCACTGAATTACAACAACACATATATTTGGAGACCGGGATGGAAAAAACACTCTTTGGGTTTTAGCTCCTTTTCCCCCACATCCAGCAGTAACTGTTTATGCACTGTAGGCAGTTTACAAGGGAATGCTGTGTGTCTGTGGAGATATCAGTCTACCTTTTTTCTGCTTGGTGGCTCTCTCTTGGGGAGAAACACTTAATATACAGCAGGTCTAAAAGGGAAAACTGCACCCGGAGTTAGAGCAGGACTGGCTCTAGAAAGCTGTACAGGTCTGGCAGTCTGTTACTGTTTCCAAATACTGCTCTAGAATGAGCACACACACACAAAGAAGAGGTGCTAATGTGGCACTGCATCTTTGCACAATGCTTTCCCCAGTCACAAGTTGTAACCTGAGGTCATGTTTGAACAAAGCAGAAGTAGCTAAACTTAAAGTGCTGGAGCCAGGAAACCTGGTAATGCAGCCCTTGGCTCTGCTTGAGACCAGCTTACAAATCTTGCAGCCACCCTTCAGACTTCCTAAAATGTTTCAAATGGAGGATCTTCTTGATGTGTGAAAGTTAAAGCTGAGTGAAAAAAATTACACCACAGCAGCCATTCACAAAGATTCTTCCTAAATTTACCCCGTTGGACAAGCAGGATCACTTATTCACAGCTGATGTCCTGGGCTCATGGCTGGCTGAAACCCACAGCTCGGGGAAGCCTTGTCTGTCCCACAACCAACCTGCTGAAATACACAGCACAGGCAAAAAGCAGAAGAAACAGTTTTTGACCAAGCTGTTGGCCACAACATTCGGGCATCTTATCTATGTATGCATTTCAACACCTCTTAGCATCATGAATTGTCTTTGGGTTTTTTCTAATATAAATACAGCATTGCTAAGGTAGGAACAAAGGTGCAATGTTGATTGTACTGGATAACATAGTTCTGTGGGATGTTTTCTTTAATCAATTTTGTTGAATTAAAATGATGGTTTCTACAAAAACTTCCCATTTTCCTCTCAAAGGATGGAAGCCTGCAAACAGCCTGTAAGAATGAGCACATCTTCAATGCACATGAATGCTTTGTTGAACTGAGGGGAAGGTGGGAGCCCCTTGGTTTGACTGAAGACGGGGAGGAAACACTCAGTTTACACCCTTCCAGAAAAACCCATCAGATCAAGAGAGCGGAACGATCTGGTTAGAAGCAAAATGCCATTTTGTCCTGCACTGCCAGGGTGGTGGAAAACATAATCTCTTTCATTGTTGCCACTTCAGTGGGTCACAAGCAAAACAGGCAGTTGAGGTGCCAAAACTCACTGGGAAAGGCTGGCTACAGCCTATTTTTAGTCTTGCCATCCTCTGCAAGCTTCAATTCCAGCATCTTCCTAACACTCCACCAGCTCCTAAAACCCTGCTCATATTCCTGCCGCTGGCTCTATCCGATTTTGTACTCCCACCCGCTCCCTTTGCTGCACACTGAAGCTGGGCATGGAGCAGGCATGGAGCAGCACTACAGTACAGGGGAATGGGTGAGCACTGCTGGCGTGGTGGGAGGCAGCCCTAAGGCAGAGCATCACTGGAGGGGACCGGGGCACTATCTTCTGCTTGAGAAATGACCCCTGGAATTTGTCCTCTGCTTGGCTTTCACAGGCAGGGTTTCATCCCCTTATCAACCAAAACTAAAGGGTCTGCAGAGAGAAAAAGGGGAAGTCATTTTAATCCCAAAGGATGTTGTGTAATTCTCCTCGTTGCTTTTTAAAAAAAACCTGTCTTTTGCTCTGTGGCTTTGTTTTCCATGTCTTTTATGTCCTCCATGTGGGATTATGTGACATCTCTGCCCTGCTTCACCCACCCTTTTTTTTTCCTTCATAGGTTTTTTTAAAGCAGAAGGAAGCATGGAATATCTCCCCCATGCTTCCTGAAACTGTTGTCTTCAAAATTACACCACTGCACTCTCTGAGATTAAATATGGATTGAGGCAAGATCAGAGACTGGGTGTTTATGTTTTCTCATCAGGATGAAAAATCTTGCCAAATGGAAATGCCTGTCTCTTTTTTAAATTAAAATCTTCCCCTCTTGCCTTACCTTTAACTCTTCCAAGATGTGTTACAAAGAAAGGTCATAAATGAGCAGTAAGTCTTCAACTACAGCTTCAAATCCTTCCAGTGAAGCTTTTAAGATTTTTACATCATTAGAGGAAGGTGCTGAATTAGCTAATTAATCCCCTAAACACCACAATGACTAAGCTAATGTGTAGTCCTATTCAGAAAGGAATAAAGCAAACAAAGCAGTTAAGTGTCCCCCTCTGGACTGGGAATTGATACAGGAACTAGGATTAAAATCTCATGAACCTTGGCTTCTGATTGCCTCTTCAGGCTACTTCTCTACTCATGGGAGCCAATTCATTTTTCCACTGCCAATGCATTTTTGTTATTAATTATGATTAGCCAACCTTTGGGAACTTGCTGGCATTTTTGAATTCAAGTCTTGAGCCATGCCAGCAGGCATAAAATGGAAGTATTTTTCCTCTAGTCCACATGTGCTTGAAAATGTGAAGCAGAAGTAAGCGTCTTAAATGCACTTGCCAAGGTAGATGTTTTCCCCTTAAGAAGCCATCATAGTTACACATTGCCAAATATGGAAGTATTTGCATCTGGAAGCAAAGAGGTGGAGAGGAGCAGGAGGAGAAGGAAGGCAAGCAAGCTGGATCTGCTGATACCTCCTGGCTGCATCAGAGCTGGGGCACTGAACCATTTCCCTTCCTGACCAAACATTCAGACACTTGAATACCTACAGCCCACAAATCATAAACTTGGTATGCCAGCTGCAGTTGGGGTGGTGTTGGCCAAGTAAATCAGCTGTCCAAAAAGGTCTCAGGCTGTGAGTGTAACCAGCAAACAAACTGCTAACTTCACAAGCGGATGTCAACTAAAAGCCCACACAGTTATGCCACTATAACATAAGTAAATATAGTAAGCACTTCTATCTTCCCAATGAAAAGCACCAAAGCTGCAGTAAAATCTGGGATTATTCTAAATCATTAATTAATACAGCCTCTTTGGGGACAGAGGGGAGGCGGCAAAGAGAAGATGTCCTATGTTACTTAACAAGTCTGTTCATTCAGCCCCGTGGGGGCTGAAGGGGCTAAGCCATACAGCCCCTGTGACACCTGGAGCCAGCAAGTACCAGGGGCTGGGCAGAGGGATGGGTGGGAGCTGAGGATTGCTCTTCTGGAGCAGCTAGGAGGCACAGGGTGAAAGTGCCCTGTGCAGTGAGGCTGTAAGATGTGACGCCAATCTTGCTCTTTCACTTGGGGCAGCAGCAGCCAGCTGGGGCACTAGCGTGGTAATAGGTTAGAAAGAGAGCCCCTGGAGGCCTGTGCTTGCTTTGGCTGTCAGCAGAATTGGGGTATTTTTAGATTACACTAGGAAATATAGAATGCTTTTTGTTTTCAACACTTTAACCCATTGAACATGAAGTGGAAGCGTTTTTGGTAGAACAACACTATAAATGGCGCAGCAAAGGAGCGGGCTTTGCCCTTTCTCTCCTCTCTGGTCATTCAGGATAAAGTCCCCACTCTGGTGTGTGCTGGTACTACGGCAGCCACGGCCTTCCCAAGAGCATCGCCTGCTGGTTCCTGGCCTCACAGAGTACACCAAAATAGTGTGACAGGAATAGTTTGGGGTTTTTTCTCTCAGAGCGAAAACTCTGGAAAGGGCTCCCTCGGTTTAGTATCATCTGAGTCACTCATCCAGGCTGGAGAAAGGCATGAGGGCAAGACCATGGCCTGTCCTGAACAGTCTCCTCTGTGTTATCTGAGTGCAGCAGGGACTGCATAATGGAATATCTTAAGCTGTATGAGAGAAGTTTTTCTCTCCTGTTTTTGCAAGAATGCCTATCCTGGGCACTCCTGCAAGAGCTTTAGTCAGACATGGAGCTTGGCAGGTTTCATGTGGAGGACCCGGCTGTGAGCAAGCTTCTGACGGCATCTTCCCAGAAATATCAGAAGAGGGAACCTGCTTGAAGCCAGGGTGCAAACCAGAAGGAGATGAGACACTGATGACCACAGTGTAAGTGCAACTACTTTGAGCATGCAGACAATTTACTAGTGGGCTTCCCACTGACTACCAAGTATCTCAAATTTCCCAACACAAAGCATCTCTGCTGCAAGAAATCACATCTGATGAACTGTTCTGGTACAGATGGGAGGCACAGCAAAAACCCAAATTGCTGCAATCAGGGGCAGCATGTGGAGATGATGATGATTCTGTGATGATGATCCCTATCCTACAAAAGCCTGGAGCTAGGGAGGGGATGGGAAATACTCCTTCCTCTTCCTGCAGGCCTGGACATCATATGAGACATTCTCTTGTAGTGCTGGGAGTTAATAAGGCAGTAGTATGGTGCCTCTTTTCCTGCTCCCAAAGGGGAAAAAAGAGGGCCATGTCATGATTCAGGAGCTGGAGCAAAGCTGCAGGAAGCACACAGCTGCAGTTAGGTACAGGCAAAGATGGGAAAGAAATTTGAGGTGTCTGTGGGAGCAAGGCTGTTGGATCGACACTGGGAGATGTAATTAATGAGTGTGTGTTTTGTGGGGATGAGACATACCTGTGTAGCTGTATTGTGTCAGGGGAGCGTTCTGTGTGGGGACACGTCTGATGTGACTTTGAATTTCCTTAAGTAAAATGATTATTAGCTGTCATTAAACACTGTTGGCAGGTATGTAAGGCAGATGTTGTGGATGTGCTGAAAATTCATGAGATGTGTTGGTTCTTGCTTGTGTGAGTCAGAAGAAGCTGTGTGAGAATGGTAATAAGGATTGCACTAGTTTCCTCGGTATAACAGTGAATATG